GACTAACATCTTTATAGCCTAAAAGGGCTTAAATCCACTGTTTTTTACATTTTCATTGAATGTGTACACACTTAAAGGCCTTTTAATAGCTAGAATTAAATATATTTACCTTTATAAAGCCATGTAACATGAAAAAAATCATGCTTTTATACCCGTATAAGCAATTTACATGTAAAGGTCTGGGTGGGAAGTGTCCCGGAGTTTTGTGGCTGTCCCGGAATTTTGTGGTCAACTAAGTGGCTGGCCCACTTAGTTGTCAACGGGTAATGTCGTTTTGTCCATGAAATGTCGGTCATTCGGGGTAGGGTACAAGGGCTAGAAAATCCCTGTTGCATCGTTCCTCTGGGATGAATCAATGGTTCCGTGTATAAGATTGATGCTGTAAAATAGCCCGGTGATGGATAGTACTACTAGTACGTAACTAGTCCTCGGGCCCATTTATCCGGTCATCGGGTACAGCATCCCTGCTTCATGGTACGGAGCAATTCTTGCCGCGTTTTGCGCATCAGATCTTGGATCGTCCAGATGTCTCTCCGTCCAGCGTTCAAATGTCGGCGAAACAGTCCCACTGAGTGAGCTTCCTGATCCACTAGAGTAACAAGAGCTTGATATCGACACAAGAAAACGGCTTCGGATCGGGGGACAAGCTGTGCTGGCTGCAGCTTTGCACGACTGATGCAGGTGGCTGCATGTCCAATCTGCAAGGTGGCCAATCACGAAAATACAGGTTGCCGAGTCGATCAAGGCCTCGTCTCGAGAGTCCTCTTTTCCCAGTACTCTACTCGGTGCAATTACACATGGTAAGCCCGAGCTTTGGAGTTGTTTGAAATCCTGTGTAACCTTTGTTTATTGACCTGGCACCATGGCAATGTGGCTCCGAGTGCTCAACCACCCGGCGGTAATTGCCCATGCGCTTCCAACGAATGAATCCAAGTCGCCAAAACGACATGAGACGACGAGGATCGGCGCCAAGAAAAACACCGCCTCAGTAATCTCTCAGGATCTTCTGCCACAAACACCCTTGTATAGTCGACATGTCCAATAGCTTCAAAGCTCCTGCCGGAACCGTGAGATGAAAAGATGTGGTGCGGCTGGCTCATCACACCGTTCAAATGCAGCGGTAATCATGCATCTCGTTGCCGCTCTTCCGGTCTCTTTCGCAGATAGCTTTTCGAGACTGACAAGTCAAGCTCCAATCTCCGAAGTGGATGACGGTGCAGTATTGGCTCTGGCCGCCAGTGCCGACTAAAAGAGGCTGTGTACTTTCGGCATTTGTCAAAACGAATCCTTTGTGCATTTTACATGGATGCAGAGAGGAAGTGCGGAGCAGAGCGGCCAGCATGAAATGACGGCATCGGTTCAAACCGGCTGCTCGTGAATGGCTGGCTCTACTGGCTGGCGACTTTCAGCATAGCAGGAGCCCTCTGAAAACATTGAAGCCGGTTCATTGTTCCTGGCGGTAAGCTATCCGGATACTAATGAAGCACAACGTCTCATACAGGCACAGCAATTCGAATAGTATGCTATGTAGCTGGCAGATATCTGTGAACAGAATGATGCTTTCCTTGGCTGTGTCTAGATTATCAAAACACTTTTTGCGCTCTGCACTGCTCATCCGGAAAACTACAAGGTAATATACATAATCTTACAACACCATGCGGTCTACTTGGAGTGTACAATAGATCGCAACTCGATCCATCCCCTCAACCCTTCGCAAAGGCCAACGTCGGCGCCCAAACTGAAAAATCAAAAGCCTCTCAGCGAAGCTCAACACCCAGTTCCCTAACTAAAGCCTCTCGCACACCTTTGTGAAAGCTGTTGGCTTCTTCGTTTGTCAGGGTACGCTCCAGGCTGCGGTACACAATGCGATAAGCCATGCTCTTGCGACCAGTCTTGGGGTGCACAAACTCATCAATAAGTCTGACATCCTCAACAACATCACCAGCGACATTGCGCACAATTTCCATGACGTCATTCTCGTGGAAGTTGCCCTTTGTGTTTCCTCCAGCGGGTGATGTCGACGCCAGCCAGAAAGATACATCCTTGGGACAAGGAGGGTACTTGGAGAATGGCGCAAACCTCTTGAGCTTATCGAGGTTATCGGACACGCCGGTGAACTGAGAGAGAAATCGTTGATCCTGTGACCAGAACAGGCGAATATCGGGAATCTTGAACAGCAGCATAGCGATGCGATCGATGCCTATGCCAAAGGCCCATCCCAGTTGCGATGGCACACCCGCATTGTTGTAGAGACTTTGTCTAACCACGCCACATCCCAAAACCTCCAGCCAGTCTCCCGCATAATAAACTTCCAGTTCCCATGAGGGACTCGTGAATGGGAAATATGCCTCCACCCAGCGCATACGTAGCGGCTCGTCAACAAAGGTAGGATCCTCCCGCAGAGCTGCGGCCTTGGCCCTAGAGAAGACATCAACCACCATGTTCTCCAGCGACCTCTTCAGATGCTCCCCGATTGCTTGGGCTTCAGCGGCAGAGTGGCAATCTTGCAGAGGATTGCGTTCATCATGGTAGGGAGGGTTGGGGTCCTCGACTTGGACATTGTGCTTGGGTAGCGTTTCCAGGTCGGCCCGCACAGCGGCAGCTACATCTCCATTGTGAACCTTGTTTCGGTCCCAGGATCTGGCTCCTTCCATCTGGTGAAAGACGGGGTAATGGCTTCGATCGATGGCATCTCGTCGATATACATCCGCAGAAATCAAGTAGCCGTCGCTCTCATCCGCTCGGAAAGTGTCGGCCTGGTGCGCACTCGTGTGTGTTCGGAGGAGAGTCTCATCGTTGATGTAGTAGGTATCAGACAAGGCTCGCCCTGGATGGTTTGGCGGGAAGCCGAGAGAGTCAAAGTTTTGGTGAGTTGACACAACCGGGTTGTATTCGTTGTAGTACTTGTACGTGGGCGGGGGGAAATTCGACTCTATTATTTGTCGAGTTATGTACACAGGGTGGTCTTTCTGGAGGTGTAGCTTCCGAGACGTGGCGTCTAATACATTTGACGGTACATTGAACCATGCGGGATCAGTCTTGTAGGTGCCGCCTCGAATTGACACAGAACTGTTGGAGGCATTCGCTGGTTTCGAGGAGAGCAGGGTTCCTGTGTATAGGAATCGAGGATTAACATGACTTCGATCTACTCAATTGATGCCAAACTATATGACAAACCTGAAGAGGAAAACTGTCGAATTGCATGTGATGGTCGGATAGAGCAGTGTCGAGAAGAGCGAACCTGCCGGCTGCACCTCAAGAGGCCGCGCATAGCCCCAATTCGTACCGACATGTTGGTAGTCTGGCTCGCTGTGTAGTTCCGTTCCCATAATTCGGCACCTTGTCGATGCGTTCGGTGCCAATTTGGTCACGGGCAGCTTAAGCCGTGATGTGTCGAAGCTGTCGGGTCGAACCTCAAAAGTTAGGCAGGACCCTGGATTTAAGCTAGCACAGGCTACCCTATAGCCAATGTTGCCCGTTGTTTAACAACCACCCTCCCATTCAAGAAGGCACGTGCAATAGAATAAACACCAGGATGTGACTGCATCATATATTATGAATAAGCTGTCGACTTTGGTAGATGCAAGATCCCGCCATGGCATGTGGCCGTTGCACGTCATCCAGAGCTCTCACAGACCGTTATCGCTGCGCTATGATTTTGTGAGCGCCACTGGTGTTCAGACATCTTCAACAACCGCCCAGCTCTTCCACATCCAGACACAACCGGGTCGAACAAGACGGAAAAGATACACATAGGACATACAGACGCCCTTTCGAACCTGACAAGTTTAAGACGGTGAGCGCCAAACCGGTCAACTGGTGAAGCAACATCAAACGCTGCCGGGGCCTGACCAACTACGTCACCGCCTACCGTCGGGTCCATTTTTCTGCCACAGCAGCCGATATCAACGCCGAGACTCTAAGCCGAACTCTAAGCACCGCGGTACCCCGGCATGTCTCTCACTCACATCACTTCTGTGTCTTGACCTCCGTGTTGCAATTGGGAGTTGCAGCTCGCACTCGCGAATTGAATTGCTGAAAAAAAAAGGAAAAAAAAAAAAAAGGAAAACGAGGTCGTCTTGTCACAGTTGTGCGATGCGTCTATAAGCTCCAGCTGCCAACCGCAAAACCTGCACACAATGGCCTCATCGGCTGAAGAGTCGGCACCGGCCCGCAAACTCACCAAGGAGGAGCGGGCTGAGCAGCGCAAAAAGAAGATAGGGCCTCCGATCCGATATCCTTTTTGGTTTGGAGGAAGCGCGAGTAGTATGGCTGCCTGCGTGACACATCCCCTGGACTTGGGTACGTGAAGTTTTTTTCCCCGGGCAGCCGATTTGTCCCATTACGTGTAGATTTGTTGCTAACTCACCAATAGTAAAAGTATGAACTATTCTATATCCCCTGTCACAACATGGTTGTAATCCAAAGTACAAGTCTCTAACATGACACACCCAGGTGCGGTTACAAATGCGCAAAGGCGACGCACCCAAATCCATGAGCGGCACCTTCGTCCACATTGTCAAGACGGACGGTCCCCTCGCCCTCTACAGCGGCATATCTGCCTCTCTCCTCCGCCAGCTGACCTACTCAACCGTCCGGTTCGGCGTCTACGAAGAGATCAAGTCGAGATACACCAAGTCCGGCCGCGAGCCCTCATTCCCCCTTCTTACCGCCATGGCCATGACATCCGGGTTCCTGGGCGGCATCGCCGGCAACTTCGCCGACGTGCTCAACGTGCGTATGCAGCATGACGCTGCGCTCCCCGTGAACGAGCGAAGGAACTACAAGCATGCCGTTGACGGCATGGCTCGCATGGCGAGGGAAGAAGGCGCACTTAGTTGGTTTAGGGGCTGGCTTCCCAACAGCAGTCGCGCGGCGGTCATGACGGCCGGTCAGTTAGCCACCTACGATACCTTCAAGAGGCTGCTCATTGATTACACTCCGCTGGGCGACACCTTGACAACGCACTTTTCCGCATCCTTCTTGGCTGGGTTGGCGGCTGCGACGGCCACGAGTCCAATTGATGTCGTCAAGACAAGAGTCATGTCGTCGACCCAGAAGCAGGGCATCCTTCGAATAGTGGGAGATATCTACAAGACCGACGGTCTGGGATGGATGTTTAAAGGCTGGGTTCCCAGCTTCCTGCGACTAGGACCGTACGTTCTCGCCTGCCTCCCGCGCCCGCGATTCCTGCAAGATTAGCTAACGAACCCGTGTTAGACACACCATTTGTACATTCGTCTTCCTAGAGATGCACCGCAAGACATATAGAAAAGTCAAAGGACTAGATGAGAAGAATCTATAAACTGGAGACTGCGCGTGTACCAAAAAAAAAAAAAATCCATCAACAACCGGCAGGCGTTACATTTAGAATGGGGGGAGGTTATCGGTTGCATATTTTTGATTTCTGTTCTACCAGCATTCTGATTATAAATCGGCTACTTGAAATCCCCCTAACTGTTTGCTTGAAACGGGATACGGGCACGGACTCTAGACCGGCGGCTCGGCAGTTTACTTATAGACATACCACACACAGAACGGCACCATTCACATCCCACCCTAGAGTAAAACATCAAATAGTGATAGCACCTCACACAAGCCCATTGTTGACAACCCATACACGGCTCAAGTGTTTCCCAATTGCCGCCACTTTCCGTTTGCGCTACGGAATGAAATACTGTACAAAGCCTAAAACGACACCTCTACGTAAATGTTTGCCTAAATTTATCACGAAACCAATACTTTCAATAAATGGTCCGTTTGCCTGTAGCCTCCCAAACATCCCATGAAACGCCGTTTTTATCTACTGCCACGACGACTGGCCATATGGCGTGGTACCATATGCGCCAGCACCGCCTCCATACGCAGTGTTATTGCCTCCCCCGTATGTGGTATTCCCACCCCCGTAAGCAGTCATGTTGCCGCCATAGGGAGTGGTATATCCGCCGTCCTGCCAAGGCGTAGTGCCGCCGTCCATATTCATATCTGGACTTCTGGGGCCATCAAACTCTGCTGGCTCCTCACCACCATATTTCTTTGGATCGAGACCCTTTAGGAGCGCGCCGATCTTTTGCTGGAGAGCGCGGATGCCGCCTTGCACAATTTGATCCGGCTCCATGCTGCCTGATGTTTCTACTTCGAAATAAAATCGGTCGGGAACCGCATCGTAGTTGAATGGCTCGCCATCTTGAGGGGGGTCTTCCCACTCTGCGTATTTGCTCTTGGGCCTGGGTATTACCGGTATTAGAGTAATTACCCAATTCAAGCAAGAGAGAACAAGACATACCATTCCTTTTGAGGATCCGTGTTATTCTCGTACCACAGATCCAAATGATGCAGCTTATTGTGAGGATCATATTCAAAGCCCACAGCCGACGTTGGCATCCACTTGGCGTGTTCCTTTGCTATCCCCTTCTTCGCGATACACGTGAGCTTCAGCTCCTGGTCCTTGCGTAGCTTGGCGATCAAGCATCCCATCCCCTCGGGGTCGTTAATAACGGGCGTCCCGACCTGGCTGGCATGACGGCCGTCGACGATCAGATCCCGCGCGTATACCTTCATAATTTCATCGCTGGTACATCTTGCGTGTAGGGTCAAGGTAACGCTGCATTGCTCGCAGTACTGCTCGCAGTCGCAATCTCGGGAATAGTTGAGTTCGTTTACGCCTTTGGCGTTGAGAGGAATGAGACCTAATCTGTGCGCGATAAATTCGTCGGCAAGCACTGATGTGTTGACTTCGACTTCGACGAGGTCGATGGCAATAGTGGGCACTTCGGCCTGAATAATTCGCCGTATCGAATTGGCAAATGAGAGGTTGGTTCTGGAGAGCGCAAAGTCAACGCGCGTGCTGTCGGCCTACAGAGAGGTTGAAGAAGAAGAAGAACGCAAGTTAGAAATTTGAACCATAGCAGAGGGCTACCACACCGCTTTGAACTCGGGGCGCCATACAGCTGATATGGTGACCTGGGGCTGCTCGGGCTCGCCATCCATCACCATAGGGTCGTAGTCCATGCCGTCCATCGTGGCCAAGTCGGCAGCGGCCGCCTGCCTGCGCGGGACACGGCTATTCACGAATCGCAAAGTATTCCCAGACTACCGAGGCGAAGCTTCGCTGGGATCGTACGAGATGGCCGAAAGCTGCGTTGTCGAAAGCAAACAACCAGTGGTGGTGGCCGGCCCGTCAGTTCACAATAAACTGCGATTCTGCTTAGCGCTCGAGCAAATGCCACCGGATCAGCGATAATCCGCAAAACCTCCTTATCGCCCTCGGGGCTCCAACTACGATAAGCAAAAAAATTCCCCGCCGCCAAAACCTCCGGTCAAGCTCCAACGACGGCCATCTCCTTGACAATTACAAGTCAAGGGAAGGGGCCAGAAATTCAGCCATGAAGATCAAAGCCCTTAACCGCTCCTTGGCGGATCATCAACCGCCCGGCTCCGACGCCGCCAAACTGCCTCGCAATCTCGATTCAGCGCTCCACCCGTTTGAGCGAGCACGAGAATACCAACGAGCCCTCAATGCCGTCAAACTAGAGCGAATGCACGCCAAGCCCTTCATCGGCCAACTTGGGCGAGGCCACGTCGACGGCGTCTACTCAATTGCCAAAGACCCCAACTCCCTACAGAGATTTGCCAGCGGCAGCGGCGACGGCGTCGTCAAAGTATGGGATCTCACCGATCGAGACAACTCCATCTGGCACACGACGGCGCACGAAAACATCGTCAAGGGGATGGCATGGACGCGGGACCAGAAACTGCTCACTTGCGCTGCGGACCGCACTATCAAGCTCTTTGACCCCTACAACACGCGAGCCGACTCAAAACCCATCTCGTCATGGCTCGGAGCCGGAGCATTCACAAGTCTCTCGCACCACCGCTCCCGCAACGCATTCGCTGCCGCATCAAGCGCCATATCCATCTACGACCTCGAGCGACACACGGCCGCGCCCGAGGTGCTCAAGTGGCCCACGTCCACCGACACCATCACCAACGTCTCCTTCAACTACGTCGAGACGTCCATCCTGGCGTCCTGCTCCAACGACCGCTCCCTCGTCATCTACGACCTCCGCACCTCCACGCCCGTCGCCAAGACCATCCTCAGCTTCGCCAGCAACCAAATCGCCTGGTCACCCATGGAGGCATTCAACTTCGCCACCGCCTCCGAAGACCACAACATCTACCTCTTCGACATGCGCAAGATGGACCGCGCACTCAACATCCTCAAGGACCACGTCGCCGCCGTCATGGACGTGGAATTCTCCCCCACCGGCGAGGAGCTCGTCTCCGCCTCGTGGGATCGCACCATCCGCCTGTGGAACCGAGACCGCGGCCACTCGCGCGACATTTACCACACCAAGCGCATGCAGCGCGTCATGGCCGCCAAATGGACCCCCGACGCAAAGTACATCCTCTCCGGCTCAGACGACGGCAACATTCGTCTCTGGCGCGCCAACGCCTCCCAGAGCGAGGGCATCAAGTCCGCCCGGCAGCGCCAAGCACTCGAGTATAACGACGCCCTGACCCGTCGCTTCGCCCACATGCCTGAGATTCGACGCATCAAGAGGCACAGACATATTCCCAATGTCGTCAAGAAGGCAGGCGAGATTAAGAGCCAGGAGCTCAAGAGCATCAAGAGGAAGGAGGAGAATGAACGCAGACACTCCAAGAAACAGTTTGAGAGGAGGAGGAGCGAAAGAGAGAAGATGGTGTTGGCGAAGGAGAAGTAGGTTTCCTACCCCCTTTGGCTATTCATTTCTGTTGTGGGAACCACGAGAACGTAAAAAGTATGGAGTTTTTGTTGCGAGCATGGCATGGCGTTATTTCGGAATCAGCCTCGTGCACACGTGTCTTGATTAGATTTGGGTAGGTGTTATCAACTGGTAATTTCATACACCCTTGAAGTCGGATGGCCTATGTAATATGATGATCACATGTTTTAAATATGCTCTCGTGTCGTCGTGGAGCGTTTATTGCACCTGCTTGCTAGTGACTCGTATACCACACAAAATTTGTGACATGTGCTTTTGCTTGACATTGTCTGAAATCGGCCACAGACGGTTCATGCCATTAACCCCACACGGCATGGAGTGAACGTGTACACATGAAGATTGACACATTACACACAATGTTCAAAGTGGTCAATTATAACCAGTCTCTCGAGCTTCTCAAGGGCTACATACGTCTACCTTGGACCAGTCTCTAACACACCCCTTAAGTCTTTCTGTGAAATTTTAAACCGTTTGACAAACCCAGAGTATGCATCGTTTCAAACCGCCCATCAACGCCCAACACACATTTCGATGTTTACCCATTCGTAGCCCCGCCAAATACAATCGTTATATGACACAAAACACAACTCTTAAAGATAAACGAGAGAGATGCTCGTCGCCACTCGACTCGTAAGTACCAGTGTAGGGTATTCATTCATTTCGCCAAAAACACCAAACTCGAAAGAAGTAGTCACAAAAATGGTCTGGAAACATTTTTGGTCGTTTGCTTTTGGAAATCGACGTCTAGATCCTCCGCACCTGTCATTTTGTTATTCTAACGCCTTCATTTGACCAGGAAAGTTGCCATCCGTTCGCCTTCTGGCGTTGGAGTTTTCAAAGTGTTGTACATTCTCACTGGGACTGCGGAACCCAATGTCGCTGAAAAGAGGACAGAAAAAGAAGAAGGAAAAAACAGTCGTGACTGCGGCCATTGTGGAATTTTGGTACATTTGGAAGACGTCGGTTGATGGCTAGACACTTCCGCGGGCAGCCTTTTGAGGCCTGTAGTTGGGCATTTCGTCGAACCAGCCATTCGCCTCATTGTACTTGTAGGCGTGAAAGGCAATGCCATATGGCTTGGGTTCAATAGAGTAGAGCATCCCCAGAGGGACATCCATGTCAGTAATGTCCTCTCGTGTCAGGTCCATGAAGTAGGCCATCAGCACTCGACAAACTGAACGATGCCCAATGATCAGCACATGATCAGTGATGCGCTCAATCTCTCTGACCATGTCGCGTAGGCGGCTAATAACCTGGAGGTAACCCTCGCCACCGACACCCGGGTAGATGTAGTTGAGTTTATCCGCAGCGCGCTTGTGAAACTCTTCTGGATACTTTCGAGCAATTTCGTCATAGGTCATGCCTTCAAACTGCCCCGTGTTCAACTCATTAAGCATTTCCCAATTCTTGACGTCGTAGTCATCATCGGCATCAAAGTATTCGGCAGTTTCTACGCTGCGTTGAAGCATGGAAGTCCAGACACAAAAGTTCTTCTCGTCCAAGTCCTTGTGCATGTCCGGATAGGGAGGTGTGTTGTCGCCCGGGTGAGGTGGGAACGTTGCCTGGGCAAGTTTGCTTTTTTGCTCCATAAGCCACTCCTTGCGTTTGAGCGTCATAAACTTATACAGCGCCAGGCCGTAACAATGGCCTCGCTCAGTGAGGATAGAGTCGCCGCCGAGCTTGCCGAGCTCATTATCCACGCTTTGCCCGTGGCGAGTGATCCAAATCTGCCGAGGTGAGAGATTGAAGCTTGACAGGTATGTGCTGATACCACCGCTGAGGAAACCTTTCAGGCGGTGCTGGATAAGCTTTCTACCAACATCCACCATCTAGCAGATGTGTCAGCAAGGTGATGTCGTACCAAACTAGGGCACACAATAGTTGCTTACCTGAATGTACTGTAAGTCGTTATCCTCCTCATACTCGCCCAGAGGTACGTATGCGCTAGCATACGCCGCAACTCTAGCCTTGAAATCTTCCAGCGATTTGACGGGGTCTTTGTTGCGATAGTCAGGACCAGAGAGCTTTAGGCGCATGTTTGCCTCGAGCAGATGAGGATCTCTGCATATACTTTCTATAAAAAGAATGCCAAGCTTGGGCTCACGCTCTCTGATGCGGTCGACTACTTGCTGGCGCCGCTTAATTGTGCTGTTTGTAGCATCGAGAATGCCAACAGCGCCGCCCTGGTTCAAAAGATAGTCGAGCAGCTCGTCCAGGGTTTCCATGGCCACCTGATTTCTCATTGCTGCCGCCTTCTCGTTATTCGGATCAAAAAACTTGGCGGACTGGTCAACTTCTTCCTGAGGCTCGCCATTCGTCGAGTTTAAATTCAAGGTAGTAGGCTCTGCTTGGTCGGGAGGAATATCGTTGTTGGTAGCTGGCACGCCGTTCAACAGGATAGTGGCGGCTTCAACTGGAGGGTCCAGGGCCTGATGCTCCTGGCCAGAGTTGGCGCGGGCAGAAGACTTGATTCCGGCCGCATTGCGTCTGCGGTTACCGACGTTGAAGATTCGCGATTCATGCTGTTGCCACGAAAGATACCGTTGAAGCTTTTTGGTGATGTATGATTTGCCACGGGCAGGAAGCCCCACCATGACAATAACGAGCTTGGCTGCAACATCCCGTTGTGGGATTCTGCCGTCGGGGGAGACACGGGACCTGGTCATACCAGGGATGTTGAGGGTTGTTGCATGAGGGCGCACTCTAGGGGTCTGGCTGCCTGAGTTCTGGCGCAAAGGTGGGCTGTGCAGTGGCAAAGAGCAGTCAGCAAGTGTCGTCATTTGGCACAGAAACTGGAATGAGCAATGCAAAGACTGAACAAGACGGTATTCACAGCGAGCAACATGCGCAAGGAACAAGACGAGGCTGGCGCGCGCTGCGGCACCGAAAAGATGACAAGACTCACATGCGTGGTGAACTGGGGGCAGTGGAGTTGACGCTCTGCGATAACGGAGGTGTGTCGGTTAAGTCCTTCATCATCCTGACTGCGGAAGCGATGGCGGGTATAGCTACAGGCGCGGACATGGAGTAGCACTGCGTGGTGCCATGCGATTGCAGCGGAGAATGAGAATAAGAGGCGACATCTGAGGAGTGCGAAGGAGGCTGAACAGCAAAATGCTGCTCAGGCTCCGAGGACGTAGGTGAGGTAGAAGAGCGAGACGAGGCGACACCGAACTGGTTTTGCATGACAAGCTTGGCTAGTTCCGACTGTTTTGCTTGGTGGAGGCGCACGCTGGCGTCTAAGTCGTACAAAGCAAAGAGAGGCAAGTTAGCAAGGGTCGTTGATTGATAAGAAAGCAGCAGCGACACGCGCAGAGCAAGTAGTAGTCTGCCGTCTGCAGTCTGCAGTGTGCGTAGCCTACCAGACTGGACCAGACAATAGACAATACTCAAGTACTGGGCTGCTTGGGTGCTTGGGTGGTAGCGGGTGGAGTGTCTGTCGAGTGGCAGAATGACAGAACGAGACAGGGTAGGAGTAGAAGTGAAGACGGCTAGAAAAAGAGTGCACAACGTAATAGAGGGCAAAGAGGCATGAAATAAATGGGAGACTTGCACGCGGAGATGGGTACGTATCACACACCTTGTCTGGGAAGAGCTACGGCAGACGGCATTGCGAGATGTAAAAAGGAAAAAGCAATGGGCTGCCGGAAAAAGAAGAAGTAGCCGGCGCAGGCAGGCGCGACTTGAGCTCGGTTGGTGTGGCTGCCTCAGCACTTCAGCACCCAGTGCTTTGGCAGGATGGATGATGATGGCGTGAGCTGGATGTGAGCTTGTCAAGTCAAGTTGTGAGTTGGCGTGGGCTGGCGTGTGTGTGCCAGCTCCCAAACTCACTCGCGAAGTATCAGGTACTTGAGTAACTTTGTACGCAGTAGTGCGCAGCAGCTGGGCAGAAAAGTACCTGCTACCCGGCCCCGGTCAGCCAGATTGTTGACAGAATCAGGTGTGGTATCAGCGAGACTCAACAACCTGGCGATTTGTTGCGCGAGGAGCTAAACGCCAAGACTCGAGGTCAGTCAGTCCAAGACAAACGCTGCAAATGCGCCTCACCTTGTCCACCAGTTGGAAGCGATGGGTCGATTGCTCAGATGCTTGGTCGCCGAGTGGCCTTGTCGCCTGCCCAATGACGTTGACAGTCTGCAGGGCGCCAGCAGCCAGCGAAACCGGCTCGTGGGGGAGATCAGAGGTCCAGCAGTCGGCGCAGCGAGATCAAGGGAGCACGCTTTAAGCGATTCTGTCTGTGCTCCAGAATAAACCAAGTCAAGCACAAGACTGGACCCTGGCCCACTTGTGCCGTCAAGCTGGAATTACCTGCCCTAGTACGGAGCTGCCCCGTGGAGGCGCCTCAAGACTTTGCAAAATACTGCCTGGTGTCTGGTTTGTTAGTCTCTCCCAACGACCCAATTGATGCACTTCCTTCCCGCTCGTGGGTTGGTGTCGTGCGCTAAGGGCGGACCGAGTTCGTCTGACTCGCCCTCCAACAAATGTGCGATGACGGCAAACTTTGGTACCAAGCAGAGGAGTCACCCGTCGCAGAAAATAATCTAAGCTGGATATTCACAAGTTAATACTCGTTCTTTTTCCCAAAAAGCAATTCTCATTGTGTGCGCGCAAAGCGGAGGCTTACCAGCAAATAGTTCTGTCCACCCCCGAGTGCTTTGTACCAGCACCGCCGAAGAGGTGCCGCGCAGTGGACCTCAATCAGTTAAAGCCAAAGCTGAGGGTTTCGGTCTTGGGTCAAGTTGTATTTGTCTGGGTTGTGGTTTGATCCACAGACAAAATCACAGACACCAGCGAGGAGCATTAAATCAAGCGAATTCGTCCAGGGTTGATGAGCACGATAAAGAGGACGGCTGAGGCACCCAAAGAAATGAAGGAGAGATATAAAAAAAAGGGAACAAGAAAGAGAGAAATGTTGTATGTGCTTCTAGATTGGCGATGACTGTTTAGGGACACAAATCGATACCGTCCGGTAAAGCTTGTCTTCAACAGGCTCGATGGCTAGGCCAAACCCCACCAGACCCAACCAACAAGTTCCGAGTCTGTCAACTTGTGGCGCTCTCTAGTTGTCTCGTCAAGCCGATGGTCTTCTTCTTTTGTGAGGAGATCTGGGCCAATTCTTTCCTATAATTGCCTCGTTGCAGCTGGTCAGACGTAAAAGTACCTTTTCACCTCTGTGAATTTGTGTTTGAGAAATATTGAGCAACGACGTAAAGCAATCTGATGGCGCACCTTGTCGTTTTATAACACTCTAGCCCACTGAACAGACCATCCACACTGAGATTCTCCATACATGTAAAGCATCCAGTATCCCCGATTCAGACAGAGCTGCTCACCTTTGGAGATGTAACATGCCCAATATGTCCTGCATCTTGCCTTGGCACCGTCGCGAAACAACTGCCAAATACCGAGACATGGGTCATATTATGCCATGATTCTAAAGATACCTCAAACACTTCCTTCCTGCACCGCCATAAATACCGATTCAGTTCGCAAACTTCCACAGCATGTTTCAGAGCCTCAAGTGCTCTCCCCAGCACGGTGGAAGGCCCGCGGCGCGTCGCAATCGTCCCATGGCACTGTCGGACTTGGTCCGAGCAACCCGGGCTGTCGATTGCCTTCCAAGTTGGTACTGTGGTGTGCCCCAAGATCCCCCCAGTACATGTAGTCATCACCACGCATTGTCAGTTCAAAACAGCACTGAATATCCATATACCCAGGCAGGGTTCAGACCTGTTACTATTGTGTGCGGCCCCTTTGTTCCTCTTTGCAATGGAACCATCAACCTTGGGTTCTGCTGACAGGCGCAACCTGGCTGTCTGGAACAACACTGGTGGTTCACCTCTTGCTTCTGCTTTTTGATGGCGCGTACGGAGTAAGTGGACGCTGTTCACCTTATTGTAGTGCCGTTCATCATCTTGGGGTTCAAGGGCAGCTTTCATATCCTCCTTGTTGGAAACCGGACTTCGGAGGAATTGAGCTCTCTTGCTGTACATCACCAGTCTGTTTTGATTGTCATGATACATACCAAGTTGCCAAGGTAGTTGGAATCCTTCTGCAATCCGTTTGCCCCACGAAAACTTGGCCTTTCTCCATCGCATCCTCCCGGAATTTTGTTGAAAGAACGAATGCGCGAGGCACACAGCCAAGTCTAGCCTGATTGTGCTGTTGGCCTTGTTCCTCAGCCTGTTTACCTAGGCAGCTAATTTCCTAACAAGCCGCGCGGAAGGGGTTCCGATGTCGCCGTCTGCGGAGGTTACAAGACTAACATCGGACTCCACCTGTGAAGATCCAGATCCCTCCGTGCCTGGGCTGGGACGTGCCGCCGTCGAGTGGCCCCTAGGTCGATCAAAGATAGAGCTGTGCTTGTTACCCTCCAGTTTCACGTAATACAATAATCAAGAAAGCCGGAGCTTTAGGGCCCGGACCATCGCTCTGACGCAGCTGTGGTTCGTTGGCGTTCGGTTGATTTGCAGCTTGCAACAAAACGCAACAAGTCTAGCTTGTACCTCAGCACCTCAGTACTAGTCCCAAGTGACCTCTGATCATCTCTTACGGTGGTGGTAGTAGTATTGCATGCTGGTAATGTTGGTCCAAGTGACTTTGCTTGCGTGCTTGGAGACGTCGCTCGGGTGTGAGACAAGTCGGATGTGTTTTGTCCCCCCTAGATCCAGCTTCTCAGACCCCTTTGGTTAGCACCTCAAATTGTCTTGCAATAGCTTATCTCCATCCTAGCACAGAAGAAAAGATGAGACAGGAAATCGTCTCAACAGAAGTCGTAGAATGTACGTGCTAAGTAAGCTTGTCTGGCTTGGCAGTATTCGTGTGAAACCACTCAGAAGGTCGTAGTAGTAAGCTTAAATTACAGCCCCCAGTGGTGTTGCAGCTCAGGCCGGGTTGTCGGTGCGTTGGCCGTTGCTTTGTTTCATTGGGGAGTTTGGACGCTGGAAATAAAAATCTCACTGGGTCAAGTGAGATTTGGCTCGGTGTTGACAGTGTGTTGTTTTGATGCTGCTCAACAAATATTGATCTTGTTGACCAAACACATGACCAGGGAAGGTGCCGCCCCTCCTTCATGCCAAGTTGGGTAGCACGCACTTTGACATGCTCCTGATAGCCGGATTGCTGTCTTCAAGCTGCCAATGTCCTTGCGTTATGAATAGAAAGAGGCCGAATTCCTGGGCAGTCTGGGGCTGCACCACCGAGCTCGTCAACAGGGCAGGGCAGAGCAGCTTCGTCCAGGAAATGCGGATATCTGTGTCCGGTCCCGGGCCTGCTTGTCATTGCTGAGATTCTATTCTTGTAACCAACGCGGAGAAATAATGAACCATCAGAAGCCTATCGATGACTTTCAGGCCACTTTTCGGTATTTATTTTCATTTTTGATACGGATGCCCGTTTGAGCGCAACATCATGCACAGCTGCAACAGCCTGAGTGGAGCGGACATGGGCAGCTCGGGGCCCCAACCAAGCAAACAAGGATGAGTGAGATGGCGGCGAAACTCTGGGTAGATTCGTCTTCAGGTTGACTAATGTGCACTCCAGCCTATGGTGGCAACTGCAGTACTGGGAAAACAATAACTTATCAAACTCTTGTTTAGTAAGGCGGACAGCCCGAAATAGCACGCAGTGATGTTTTGCCTCAGTCCGTCATTGACTATGGCAGACCAGGGAGCAGACGGGGATGGGTTGCAGTCTGGCGTTTTATAATACGTCTTGCGATTGATCTTATCGACAGGGACGGGGGTTGACGAAAACGTAGCGTTACTTCACATTGTGCTGTTGAAACATGTCACCAAGTCGGTGGATCTCGGCCACTTGTGACATATCGACAGATAGCAGATCAAACTGCCGATGCACGAGCCTTGACTATGGACGAGATGACGACGGCACCCCATGGTCAAGGTCCGGAGCTTGATAATGCCATGGTCTCGCTGCTTCACGACCACGTCTTGATACTTGGGGACTCTTGACTTGATGCTTCGCCGCCACAGCCCTCGCTCAGAAGGTGCATTTAGAATATGTGGCTTAGCAATCACCGCCACAGGCACCAGCCGCACTTAAACTTTCCAACTTCAACAAACGAGTCGATCAGCTTGTTTGACAAAGTAATCGACAATGGTCCAAGAACATCGCAACCGCATCTATTTGGTTCCAACAGCAACAAGGTTTGGCTTTTAATGACTCAACTGTTGACAGCCAGAGAATTGTAACGCAAGACACTGAGCTTCTCGCGACATCAACACCGATAAACTATACCAACAGCCAATAGTTTTGGGTTGCCAGCTCTGCCAGCCGTCGCCAGATGTCAACTCAACCAAACGTTTCTAAATATGATCTAGCAGTCCTTACCCAAATACTGCTCGATTTTTGTTTCCAAAACTTCACTCTCCCGCCGTCAAGATACAGCAGAAAACAAAAATACCCGTGGCGTTCACATCTGATCTTCATTGTCAACTCAATTAGACCACAACGTGATGATAAGATATTGTCTATCGTCGTGTTGACTTACGACCCGGTCCTACATGCCGTCAGATAAAAGTGCGAGGAAGCGCATATTACGCTCCTGTATCGGGTGCTGCTGACACCCTCTTTTCCGAAGGGCTGGTTCCGGACATCGCTTCTCGTTACTGCCTACGTGTTGCAGAGTCGCTGCTCAAGTGGCCGAGGTCTAGAGCCAAAAGGGCACCTACTTGCCTCATATTTTCGACTCTCAAGAAAGAACCGCCCTTGCCTCGCCCCGCCCCGCCTCGCCTACAATCCTCCTACTCACCCAGGAGAGCTCTCAGTCAACCATAACAATCCTCATCGCTCTAACACTCTGACGACATCTACTCGGGCCATTGTCTCTCCGGAGCCATCGTCTGCTGAATTGTGGAACCAGGGTTGTCTTTGATACCTGATATTTGTTTTGCTCGATCCGGTCAGATAAACCTGTTAATTCTCTTCTTTTTGGAATTGGCTAGCATAAGCCCATCGGCAATCTATTTCCCTGGCACCTTTGCGAGCAGTGACACACACAAAATGCCATCTCTGAAGCAAAGCACAATGGCGGACGAAACCAGTGGCAATTCTTGTCCTGTCTCCGGGGACGTATCTGGGGATGATTCGCAGAGCCAACCGCTCCCAACACCAGGCCTCAAACCAAACCCCATCGTGGACGATTTGAAGAAAAGTCATTTGAATAAGGGGGTCTTGATCCCACTTAAGACAACCCAAGAAGTCCGCCAGGACCATACAACCGTTTATGCATACATTACTCGGGCGCCGACAAAGTCTGCTAACGACGTCATATCGTAAGAACCTCTTTCCTATTTACCAATATGGTGTAAAAGCACCACCTTCAGCCGGAAAAATGAGACGAACAATCTTTCCTGACTAGTTCATAGAGCCTTGCGAACATTACGACCAGAGGGTGGCGCTAATCCCCTACCCCATCTTCGCACCTGCGCAAAGCCGACAGACTTGCCTGCGCACCTGAAGTCGCAATTCATGAATGATGATCCTGTAGGCCGCCAGATTCATACCAGCAAGTCCACGTGGATCTACATTATTGCAGGCGAGGTTAGGGAGATCAGCAAATCAGACCTCATCAAGACTTTATCGACAGTGGACGCGTTAGAAAACGACCCCTTCATCGCCACCATCACTATTCCATTGCTGGCACCTACATCCCAAGTGCAAGCAGCGCTGTGGTCGTCTCAGTATTGGCCAACAGTTTACCGCAAGAACAACCCCCTCGGTCCCCATCCTAGCATGGTGGGTCGTGGAACTGATGAGATTAAGGAGGATGCATCCTTGTGGATGGCCCTGGCCCATCGAGTCGCCTTGCAAGCAAAAGAGGCCGGAATCGGGGAGGCTATGGGAGCTGTGATTGTTCAGAGAGGAGAAAACGGAACCGAGTTGGTTGGTCTTGCTGGCGATGCCCGAAAACATCAAGAATGCAACGGAGCAGTCCTCAACAACACCGTGACACACTGCGTGCTTCGGGCCATTAGTATGGTGGCCCAAAAGCTTGTAAGGCACGAGCACCGGGAGGCTGGCATAACTGCTGAAGCGGCAAATTTATATTACGACTGTTTTCAAGACAAGCCTTTGATTGAGCTGGAACGCCGGTGTTTTGAGCAAGAGCATCCAAACAAGGACGGATACCTTTGCCATGGATTGGAGCTGTATGTCACTCACGAGCCATGCGTTGCCTGTTCTATGGGTATTCTTCATTCCCGCATGGGCAAGGCTGTCTTTTGCCATCACATGGGTCGCACTGGTGGATTGAGTTCGGATGATCGTCCGGATGGAGGTGGACGAGGGTTGGGATTATTCTGGAGACGGGAGCTCAATTGGAGTTTACTGGCTTGGGCATGGGAACGTGAAAACGTACCCGACCTCCCGCCCATCGACCCAACTACTCATGTTTAGGATTACCACCTCCTAGGTCTACCTAGAACTCTGCCATTTTGGTGCTTATTTTCTTTTTTGTTCGCAATCACATACAAGGCTTGCTCGAGGAACGACATATTAGACGGCGGGTGACCTAGAGCAGTCTTATCGTTACGGGCTAGGGGGTTTTGACTGGACGAAGTTCGCTTCGAAACGGACTACTTGTATGGTTCTACCTCATCCTGACGAAGTAGCACATTTGCATTTACGGCTTGGTGGAACATTGATAATGATTCTAGATGCGGCGCAAAAGTGAGAGCTGTTAGGCTATCCTTTCCAGGGTCCACGTTCACTGGCAAGAAGATATGGCTGTTGTGGATTAATTATATCTTTGATCGCAACTGGGGCATAAAGGCCGGAATGACGAGGCGGATGGCTAGGTTTTGTGTAATTTACTGTAGATATATAGATATACATATATAAAGCTCGGTTGTGAAGTAGAGACCAGGGGCTATAGGCGACATGTTGTTACTTGGCTCATGACTTGGTAACATTGAATGCAGGGCAATGTTTGATTATGCAATAGCAATGCTGGAGCTTTTCGGTAACATTGAATGACTGGCCCAACACAGAAGAAGTCTTGGCATGGGCTAAAGGGGACTTTGGTCACTTTTCATTCATCATGAGGTTTTTGCTGCGATCAAAGGGCAATAGGTCAAAGCTAGGGCGACGTGTCTGCGAACCACATCGATTGCAAGATTACAGTATCACTGTAGCCGTCAAGTTGTGTGTGCCGGAGCACCAGACTACCCGTTTGACTTCTGCTTGCGTGCCCCTCTCAACGGTACTCATCACGAGGGTTGGGGTGTGGCGCCGTGCCTGGCCCGACCCAAGCAACCCCCCCCTTCTCTTCTTCAAATGGTCTTACTTCTTTGTACCGACGACGACCCTCCTCCCCCCCCTGGCAGTGCGAAGGCAAACGTCTGCTTCCAACCCATTCTCAAGCCCGTTATCGCGATTTTACGTTGTTCAAATTTTGCCTGCGCGTGGAGCCTCTCATTGTTGCATTTGCATTAATGTGTAGGATAATGCCAATCGTTCTGACTGCCTGCGGTTAGAACTCAGCCTTGCGCGACACCCGCCAACTGCGCCAAGCTGGCTTCCAAGGCATTGCTGCTTCTCTCCTCCGGCTACGGCTCCCGCTTCACCCAAGCGGTCGTAAGAAACCATTACTTCTCGAAAGAAGCAAGAATACGAGTACATGTGCCTACGAAACTGCTCTCTACAGCGTCGACCCGGTCCGTTTTTGGCTTCCTCAACCGTATCATAAAGACGGCCTCGCAAAACGACGAAATGAACAAGAGAGCCGCCCCGGGGGTGAACGCAACGGCTAGCCCCCCTAAAAAAAGAAAGACGGATAATGTGCAAAAGTTCTATGCAGTGCAAGCTGGATTTCGCCCTGGGGTGTATATGACATATGCCGAATGCTCAGCCCAAACAGCTGGTTTCAAGGGTGCTGTTTGTGAGTCAGCTCCAAGGTTTTTGTCGCAAACTTTGAGATGCCAAATGAAGCATGGTTAAGCTAATTGGTGGCTGCTGTAGTCAAATCCTTCACCTCCCGGTCCGATGCAGAGGCATTTGCGGCGGGGAAGAAGGTCGCAGCATCTTCTGATGAACCAGAGAGATTTTACGCTGTGGCTGTAGGCAATCCAACCGGCATTTACACAGATTGGAATGAAGCGGCGCTGGCTATCAAGGGCGTCAAGGGCCCCAAGTACAAGCGATTTGGGTCACGTATGGAGGCGGTCGTCTATATTAAACAATTCGGCAGCAGGGAAGCCATTGAAGCTCTCGGGGAAACATGTGCAGCGGCGCCAGTTGATTTACCTGTGTCCCCAACGCCAATAGCAGCTTCTGAGAAAAAGACGGCGTCCAAGACGGCCGCAAAGAAAGCTGAACCGGGGGTGCAGCGTCCAGCTGAAGACGTTTTGCAAATTTACACAGACGGCAGTAGCCTTGCAAACGGGAAAGCCGGATCCAGAGCAGGCGTGGGTGTCTATTTCGGAGACGGGGACCCCCGAAATGTTTCTGAAAGACTGGTTGGCGATCCGCAGACTAACCAGCGTGCTGAGTTGATGGCTATGCTTCGGGCATTAGAGATTGCCCCCCTCGATCAGACGGTGCAGATCATCAGCGACAGTCAGTATTCGATCAACTGCGTGACGCAATGGGCTATTGGATGGAAACACAAAGGGTGGAAGACGGCAACAGGCGAGAATGTCAAGAACCAGGATATCATTAGGGCTGTCCTGGACAAGATGGACGAGAGGACCAAGACCGGCGCTCATACCTACTTTCACTGGGTTAAAGGACATGCGTCGGATAGAGGAAATGTGGCTGCTGACAGGTTAGCTGTACGGGGAGCAAAAATGGCCTGTTGAGGAGGGTGTGGTGAGCTGGAGTTGAGTCGGAGGTTGGGTATTGGAACTATGTCAGGCTCGAAGGTCTTGGAAAAACACAAGAGCCCGTGTCTGTGTCGGACTTTTGTGATACTAGCAGGGTGATGGAAGGGTAGGGTTGCATCTCATGGAAGCGGCTAAGGAGCATATGCATGTGTTACGGAGTGTTTTAATGTTCTTTTCTGTTCGAGACTTGGGATATTTGAGGACGGGATAAAAAAGGGAATTCTTTGATTTTGTCAATTTTCTGTGATTCGAGTCCACGTTAATGGCTGGTGGCGTCTTGATCCTCATCCGACAATGATGGAGGACTGTTCCTATGATACCTATATTGGCCTTTTGTCTTTACACCACGGTCGACTATCGCCGTGACGTGTTGTAACCGCAAGTGACTTGCAGAATGCGCTTCAACCAATTAACGTTGTGGCGGCTGTTGCTATTCGAGTATTCGAGGGCGTCGCGCTGAATCTATTGTTGCTTGCGGCTGCTGCCATTGATCAGCCATACCACGGAATTCCAGCACACTCTGTCCGTGGCTCCTGGCTTGGATGGGGATGATATCATCGTATAGCTACGTTTTCATGTTGACAGCTTATTCGAGCCAATTTTCCGGAGCTCGATCCGTGGGGGCCAGTGAGAGATTGTGATGTTCCGATGTCTTGGGCGCAGGTCATGTCTTGCTGGCGGCAACGTCATGCGCATGGGATTTCTGTGGGATTGCGTTGGAGCTGCGAGGTCTATCCTGCAGGCTTGCTTTTCAAATAGCGCCTGGTATGTCTACGCTCTCGCAAGTTGTTCTGGCACGGCGTGATTTGTCGATTCTGTCGCGTTTTTCTCCTCGTCCCCTGCCTCCTGTTCATGGTCAACAGCCCCCAGAAATCTTGGATGATTTTCCGAGGCATAAAGAGATTGGCGACTTGCGAGGTCATTATCTGGGTGGTTTTCTTCCACTCGGATCATTGTCCTTTATACCTCGCAGGTGTCCTCTTCCTTGCCGTCCATTCACCTCCATGGGACCAGTTCTTGGAGGTTGTGGTACACAACCGAACACACACCACGTGCTTTGACTCTTGCAGCCATCAGACTCTGTCACATATAACATGAAGAACAGTCCTTTGTCTTTGAATTCTCATTCGCCTAACTTCTACCGAGAAAGTCGCTGATAGCACCTTAAGTCTCATCCACTTGACACCTAATCCCACTTTACTCGTCTGCACGACCAAGATCATGTAAACTTGGAAAATCTCACCTGGACAACATTATGCGCACAAAGCCCACACATCTCGTAAAGAGAGGTTATTCCCAGTTTGCATCTATTTCATAGTGCCGGATTATCCGTATCAGGACAAACGTGCAGGTTGCTTCCGCGGCCTGTTATCTCCCTTTGGGGACGGATGAACCAATGGAATGAGTACGGCATCCCAATTGGTTATAAGGCGGCAACTCATACAGTACATTCAAGAAGGGTATCAAGGCATGGGCCAATCCTTTTCTTCTTCTTTTTGTCGTTGCATTGGCGGGTAGGCTTTCAGTACGCGAGTGGCACAAAGGAGGGGGAGAAATATTTGTGTCGCCTGACAAGTCAACTTCACCCTGCAACACCTGCATTTCGCTTTCATCTCCCGACGTGTTGTGTATGCATAGCGATGAGGCGAGATGGTGGATGTTTGAGAAGGAAGGGGGTTAGGAATAACCCAACTTCTGCTCAGTGCTGAAGTCGACCACAAAAGATCATGGAATTCATGGCGGTTACGCCCGGTGGCGTCTGCAATACTCGGAAAGAGCTGACTAAACTCAGTGTGAATGAAGGATCGGGTGAGGATTTACAAGAGAGACAGCTGTTCTTCTCAGCGGTTGCTATGTCCTTTGGTTGCTTTTGACAGGCTTGGCCCACGATGTGGTGCTGGCCGGTTTGGCCCCCGGACACACTAAACCTAGGTACCGACATAATAACACCCAATGAAGCTAAAACGTCGCCTTGTACAGACCATCAATTGGGCTGGATTCAATGTTGTGGCTTCATATTGTAAGCAAGGCGGCGGGTCGAGAAGGAGAACGGGCGATGAAGTTGCCTCTAGAACACGTCATTCTGCACTCCGGGGAGAGATTGGCATCGAGAGTTGGGCGGCCTGGTAGCACGTCGGGATGAGGAGAAAAAAATTGCCAGCGAGATATGAATATATTAATACGGCGTCTGTCCTCAATCAGTATGGACTTGGCAGAGCTGGGCTGGAAGGTAAGAAATTCGGGAGCCAAGGTTGGCAGTTTCCAGGCTGCGCAGTCGTGACTTCCCCAATAGCTTTGCCGTGGCGCGGATGAAGCGCGGAACCAAACCCTTTTTTAGGTTGGTGCCGACGTCTCGGTTCTGCACCTGCATCCACCTAACTAATATATCTATCCATCTTGTCGCGGACTCTACGGATTCGAACCGTTTCGCTCTACTCTGCCCCAGTCCAGCATTGTCTGTTACCCGTTCGGGAACTTCCTACATGAACAACAGGCCACAGCTTCAACCCACGCTTTACTTCCAGGGCACACAGGGAAAAACACTCGCTCTACCTGTGTCTCTTCGCACATCTTTATCTACCGCTTCTATGATCTCAGCCGATCCGAGAATGCTGTCTACCCTTCTCCTCCTCGCTACAGCCGCCTGCTCTGAAGCTTGCTAACGCCAGCTTTTGCCGCAATGGCTAACTACACTCTACAGGAGAACAAGGGCATTTGGGCCATACCTTTGGAAATCACCGACTTCAATATCTTGGTTGCTCTGTTGGGTGGATTCATTTCGGTGTTTGGGCTAGTGTCATATCTCTTGAAGGAGACCTTTTACCTATCTGAAGCCCGTGAGTACCTTTCAGTTTGTCACTTTAAGCCATTTACCCCTCTACTCTTACCCGACCGACGTCTCATATTCCTTGGGCTATGATTTGCTTTTTTTTTTCCTGAACTGGTGGTGCATAAGCACGTGAGACAATGATGCAGGAACCATATCCGGGGCAGACGTGCAAGGGACAGGGGATTGTGTAACACCGTTTCTTTTCGTTCTGTTCCCACGCCGAATATCACGTTCAAACCGGGAAGCAGTTGAGACGTTTAGAAAATATATCTCTTTGGTTTACGCTGGATTCTGACATTAATGGCACAGTCATCTCGCTCTTGGTTGGTGTGGCCTTTGGGCCGTATGCGGCCGATTGGATTCGGCCGTGGTCTTATGCAGCTTGTCACCGCGATGGCCTCACGGACGCGCAATGTCAGGACCGGCTGAATGCCATTACGCTCAACTTTTCCAGACTGGTACTTGGTGTGCAGCTGGTTCTCGCTGGAATCCAGTTGCCAAGCAAATACCTCTGGAAAGAGCTGAAACCCATCTTGCTACTCGTCGGCCCCGGCATGGCTTGTATGTGGATGGCTACAAGTCTTCTTGTTTGGGGACTGGTCGGCACACCTAGCTTTTTGCATGCCCTGGCTGTCGGGGCATGCGTCACTCCTACCGACCCCATCCTGTCTGCCGTCATTGTCAAGGGAAAGTTTGCCGACTATAACATCCCTAAAGATTTGCAGGACCTTATTGTCGCCGAGTCCGGAACGAACGACGGCCTGGGGTACCCATTCTTGTTCGTCGCCCTCTACCTTATCAAATACATAGGATCGGCGGCAACAGAAGGTGGTGCTGCGGATGCTATGGGCCTTTGGTTTGCCTTCACGTGGGGGTACACCATTATTCTCAGCATCATCTATGGCGCTGTAGTGGGTTGGATAGGCAAAGAATTGCTTTACTTTGCCAAACAACGTAACTATGTTGATCGTGAGAGTTTCCTCGTCTTCGCTGTCGCCTTGGCTCTATTTGTTCTAGGCACCTGTGGGTTGATTGGCACAGATGATGTGTTGGCGTGCTTCATTGCCGGAAATGCCTTCACCTGGGACGATTGGTTCCGCCTACACACAAAAGATGACTCGTTACAGCCGACGATTGATATGCTTCTTAACGTCACCATCTTCCTATGGTACGGCGCCTATCTTCCGTGGAGTGATTTCGGCCACAACTCCACTATTCCATTGAGTCGATTGATCCCCCTTGGACTTCTGGTACTAATTCTACGACGTCTACCGTGGATATTTGGCATGCACAAAGCTATCCATCAAATTAGTCAGGTCCGACAGGCTATCTTTGTGGGCTTTTTTGGCCCAATTGGTGTGTCGGCAGTGTTCTATCTCTACATTGGCATAGAATTCATCCAGCAGCATTTAAGTGATGAGAACGGCGTTCCCAGATCAGATGTTAAGGATCTTACCGAGACAATTACAGTTGTGGTTTGGTTCCTCGTCGTGTGTAGTATTGTAAGTTGTGTCGCGGTGATATATTCTTTGTAGTAGCATCGCTGCAGTGCCTTCTTCTTCATTTTCTTTTCCCGTCAACGCCGCTAACGTCGTCATCTTTCGCAGGTTGTCCATGGTTTGAGCATTCCCCTCGGCAAGCTGGGGTATATCGCGCCAAGACTCCATCGTGTGCTGAGTGAAAGTCTCAGCGAAACCATTAGCACTGATCGGTTGAGCATCCAGGCTCGCAGACGTATTCCCTTCTTCGGCAGGTTCCTGAGGGCACCGGAGGATGTTGAGGCAAACCTTGCGGCGCAAGTGCGTCAGGGCACGGCGCCGATTTGTCGGACGGGACAGGGACCTGTACCTTCCAAGATTAAACAGCCAGAACGAGACTCCCGGGGAGAAACAGCTGCAGGCCCAAGCAGCCATGATGCTGAGAGTTCCGGAACTCGAACAGATGTTGAGGCTGAGGCCAGAGTCTCGGGGGCGTGGACTCTGGCGAAGGGGAAGATCCAATCCTTTGACGAGCCTGAAGCCGGAAAGTCAGAAGCCAGCACTCCTGGTCGAAGTGTAAGAAGGGAAATCCAGTTCTCCGACGAAGTGCCAAAGAGCCCACCAACTCCCTCCAAGTAGAGTGATGGTCGATGATGGCGGCGATCGTGGATGGCGGGCAAGCCACAAATGTTGTCCGTACGGGACCATTATCACCGTCTCTCAGGATCTTCATATGTGGTGGCAAAGGTGTTGTGGAAGGGAGGGAGGGAAGGATGATGGTGTATTCATGGCATGAGTTTGGTGAAGACGACTCCCAGTCGGAGAGAGCATGGCGTACAGGTGGCGAGGTATCCAGATAAAGCCAGTGTTTTATTCACGTACATAGCATTTCATAGGTAGGGCGGTGTTGATCGGAGTACGATGTCGTAAAAGGCAGATCATAGTGGCTTCGATAGTTCCCATTGGCGCATCGGTCCGACAAGACGGCACATGCATTCTTCAACAAAGATGCACCCACACTCTCGCACTCGCAGGGCAATGGATCACAAGCCACGGAGAAACCACCGCACAGCTGGCGCAGAACGCCCGCAAGCAACGGCACGGGCTTGATTCGAGGCGTGCCTGATAAGCAGCGGGCAGGTGTTTTATTTCCCTGATTGGCCGAGAGTTCTCGTTGCACACCCTCTCAGGCGAAGAGTGGCTAAGTAGGGTTGATTGTCAGGACTCGGGACTGAGGATATCACGCATTGGAAGGCGAAATATTTATGCATCAATTGAGAAAGAGACGAGAGGAAGCGGGTCACAGTGCACGCCATGCCTTCTGGGCTGCATTCCGAGATGACGAGGATTCCCGAAATTCAATGTTTGTTTAACCTGCGGATTTGGGTCATGAATGGCGTCCAATTGGTCAAGACGTGACCTTGTGTACTAGGCATGTAGGCAAGTTGTTTTGGTTCGGCGATTTCTTGCGGAGACTGCCGGAACTAGTTGCAGTTATTCTACGTTCCATCACGTCGGGTGCTGGCAGAGCATTGGAAGTAGTGTAGTTTTGTAGTTTTGTAGTTTTTGTAGTCTCGAATATAAAAAATTATATTAAATCTAATAAAATACTTATAGAATTATAAGTTTTACGAATAACTAGCATAAATCTAAAATTATAAGCTTATAATAGAAAAAGTGGGTCCTTATATACTATTATAAGCCTAAAACTTCAAAAACTACATTTTGTAGTTTTTGTAGTGTAGTGTAGTGTAGTAAGTTTTTAGAAAACTATATAATCTAGTTTTTAAGCTTACAAAAAGCTAAAGGGACCCACTTTTTTAAATAAGCTGATTGGCTATAATATTAGCTATTTTATGTATTTATTATTATAATTCAAGTATTTTATTAGATTTATTATTAATTATTTAAGCTTTTTTAAAAAATGAAAATGTAGTTTTCTTGTTAATGCTCTGGTAACTATAAGTATATTACTATTTTACGCGAATTATAGGTTCTACCTAGTAGTTAATAACCCCCTTAAAGATGGCGATCAGTTGGAGATCCGGCGAGACATCGATTGATCAAATCATACTTTGGTGCTCGAGTAAGACAGGCCAATCCGTGTGCTGCAGTTTGCCGTCCTTGTTGATCAGGGCTCAGAGACAAGTCTTATGGCGCCATTTCGCCAGCATATCTCGGCCTCTGTCGAAAATGGACAGCGCGCGGTCAAGCCGTGAAGCCACGAAGCACAAACCAACTGCGTGGTCTGTGCGTGCCATGAACCCCTTGAACGGAACGGCAATGATGGCTGTCGCCGAGTTCTCCATTCGAACTGGGCGTGATGACAATACAAGTCCGCAGGAGGTGGTGGTAGCCCGGGGGCTGGAAAAGCTGGGGAAAAGGGACGATACTGACGACGATGATGGTCCCCGTCTGTTATGTTGGGGAAGATGATGCATGGGGAAAGCACTGAACGGGACAGATAATCAACAAAAAAGTAGCGGTCGGACATTTATACATGCCGCGTGCCCTGCCGTGGGACATTGTCAGGCAGTGCGTCAGCGACGGCAGGTGCTGTCTGTGACAGCTGGGGGGGGTCCGTCAGGAGGGCGGAGTACTTGAATCAACGTTGGCAAGTTGTCTGGTGAATTGACTTCTGGGCTTGACGCCTATCTAAGCTTGGCGGTTGGGTGCCTGCAGGTTTAAATCTTCAGTCTTCCATGGGCCGCCACTGTTGATCAGAGCTGTTAGGAAGAGACTTCGAATGTTGGAGAGGCTGTGAGGGCTTAGCGGCGCCTGAAGAGTCATGACCACCGGACGTGCTTTTATTGGTCCCAAGGGCAGAAGGGGAGCGGGGTGACGGGGAGGGTTCATCCGCTCGCCTGGCTGGAGGGGTGGCGGCACTGGACACTGTATCCGCGGTGGGAAATTGCACGACTCTTTACAGTGTGAACTATATCAGATCGTCCCCTTGCATACGGAGTGCTGTCCGTCGCCGACAGTCGGTGTCTGTCAGCGTCCTCAATGGGCGACCAAAGTAACCCCTTACCCTCGGACCCACATGTCGCGAAGCCCGCACGCCACGCCAAATTGCCCGACCAGGTCGCGAGTGCCCAGGCCAGGTTACTGGATGAAGTGGTAGGTACCCTGGGTGCACATGGCTTGGCCGCATGCGCAGAAGGAAAAACGGGTTGACGAAGCCATCGAAAGTGAAAAAAAGCGGGAGCCTGAGAAGGAGTGAGGAGAAAAGGGCGGGCCCTTTTACCCTTTCCATTTGGCTGCGGGCAACATATCCATTCATTGATCAGTCAAAGTCTGCATTGTGGTAATTCAAGGGACCAGACGCTAGCTTGGCCAGCCCTTGGGTGCACCACAGGTCTTGGTTCCTGTCAGGCCCGTGTCCAGACGAAGGTCCATGTTGCCCACCGCCTGACACCAAACGACGTCCAAGGCAGCGCCTCCAGCCAGCCAGGACTGGTCCAGTTGTCGACTGGTTGCCATTCATCACCCTCCTCTTGCTGTCGCCTTTCAGGTCCAGCCATACTAATCGTCCACTCCCTCAACTCGCAACTCTCCTCTGTCTCGTCTGGTCGGCCTCGCAGATTCTCTCGTCTGTCGATTCTCTATCTCTCCGACCTTGCTTTCCGTCATTTCTATTTCGTCCCGCTTCTTGCTCGCCCAGACACCCCTTTTCGCTCCGACACCGAACGCACCGAACGCAATCCACGAGCCCACGATACCGAAAAAGCGTTGAGTGCGTGGCGTTGATTGACAGGTTTTCCTGCAGTCTAGCTCGATTGATTCAGTCGCTCGCCATATCTGTCACCACCGTCGACGGCGAAACCTGTCCAACCGATACTTATCGTCATAGCCATAACATTTCTTTTTCGTCCGGGCAGTGACACCGCTATTGTCTGGTCTATTATTTATTTATTATTATCATTACTACTCGTTTTTTTTTTCAACCTCGATATTGTTACTCTTTAATCTCCCTCTGATGTTGAGTTAGCGCAACAAGCTAGGCCCAGAGAGACGTAACTCGACCACTGCCATTTTCACCACGCCTATTCTTCGCCTAAGCAGAGTCTAAGTACACCGCGGTTGGGCCCTACGGATTCTTCAGCCCCTCCATTTCTGCGAATCTCCCCTCCACTCCACAAACTTGGCCGCGATTTAAACCTCCTGCCTACCAGGGCGACTGGGCTTGAGCCTTCGACTTCCTACCGCGTGAGGCGGATCGCGCGCGGCCTGGCCTGCTGGTCATGACATTCGCAGGAGGCAGCGTCGCTGGAGGCCCTTTGATAGCGGGAGCAGGAATGTCCAGCGGCGAATTTCACGAGTTCTCCGAAGATGAACTTGCGGCTTCCAACCTCTTCGATTTCTCAAACAGCCCCGACACATTACAGAGCCTGGACGCCATTGGCTCCAGTGACCAGAAATCCTTTTTAAACCCTCAGGAACTGACTACCGCAGGGCCCTTTCCTGATTCACCCAACGACTCTTATCACGACTCGTCTTCGGAGTCGGCGTCGTCCTCAAAGAGGACTGGCAGCTCCGACTCGACCAAGACGCCTATTACCACCGTCGATAGCACTATGGATGACGGCGCTGATATGAAGATGGACTGGGGCGCCGCCAATTATTCTTCCTTTGACGACGATGAGAATGCATTCACCTTCGGCCGCGAGGCTGATTCTTCCGCCATGGAGGGCTTGTACGGGTTTGGCGAGCAGGACGACAGCTTCATGGACCGCTCTTTTGATTTTGAGAGCGCTTCAAGTAGCCCCGAGGCACAAAATTCTGGCCAAACCGCCATGACGTCGCCGGGCATGCCCGTCATCAAGACGAATAACAGCCCCAAAAAGGCTGCACGCAAACCCAATAACAAGCCCAAGACGGTAAATCACAAGAAGCAAAGCTCAGTAAGTCAATTGTTGTTGGGCCCTTCTATGTACTATAACGCCCCAAGTATTTTATTGGAATCTGACCTCTAACCCTGAACAGCAATATTCAACATCTTCAAACGGCGTCAGGACTTCAGGTTCGAGGGAGGTCTCTCCCATGTCGGCCATGGTGACGAGCCACAATTCATCTCCAGCGGCCAATTTTCTCAACTCACCTTCTCCTCTTGGCAACCACATCAACGGAAACACCATCTGGCCTAACAGAGCAGATGTCGCGGCGGCCACAGCACCGGATGGGTTGCCCACTCCCACGCAGTTTAGCAACCAGATGCCTCAGCCGATGCTTATGCCTCAACATATCCCACTTTACAACAGCACCCCTGCTTATAACTTTACTGGCGGCTATGAGTTGAGAATATTGCCCACGCCTCTGAAGTCGCGTGTTGAGACGCAAATTCCTATCAAAATGACACTGTCGCCTTTGCCACCCGGCGTAACCAAGTTGCATTTGCCTACCCACACTATATCTAAACCTAAGCTACTCGCTCGGCCATGCCCTGAACGATCTCCAGACACCCTAGAACTACACGTCAACTTGGTTTGCACAAGTGCGATGGAGCAAGGGGATTTCAAGAAGAAGGCGTTGGAGAGAGCCGCAGTCGTACCACAGGGATACTTGCCAGAGCTGGATGATGAAGAGAACTCGCCACAAAACGGAGGAGATGTTCGGATTTGCGCTGGGTGTATCTCGCGAGAGCGGAAACGAGCAGCGCGAAAGAAGATCAAGAAGCCAGAGGAGGAGAAGATTTGGAGTCAAGACGAGGAGCGACGTGTCATTGTCTTCAATACCCAGGAAGTCAAGGAATGGCAGCCCCTGACCGGCGTCTTGGATGCCAGCGGACGACCTGATGCAGTAGTCACTCGCGCTATGCAAATCGATGCTCCCATGAGAATCGCCTGCTACTGCAGGCATCATAGCGAGAAGATGGGCTTTAACGTCATCTTCACCATCAAGGACTTTCGAGATCGTCTTATTGCGCAGGCCATGTCCAACCCAATCATGATTACAGACGACCACAAAACTCATCCCATGGCTCAAGCCTCAAATCCTCAAGTATCAGAGACGGTCACCTCAACCACAATCCCCATCCACATGCCCCAGCCTATGGAGAGCAATCACATTGCGCCAGCGCCTGGCGTTCAAAACGGAACATTCCAGGTGTCTTCGAACAATGCAGACGGTAAACCCCAGCAAGGTGGACAGTCGCCGTACTCGGGTTCTGTCGCTTCCGGGAAGATGACTCCCACCATGAGTACCCCAGCAGTAACTGGACGGACTCTTTCTCGACCTTCTTCACCGAATCAAGGCGGCCCGGCCAAGAAGAGAAAGTCAAGCAGCTCGAGGCTACACAACGGCTTGACGATGACGAGGCTGGATACTTCACCGCCGCCAGGCTCTCAAGTAACTTCAGCACAGATCTCTACGGTGACATCTCCTTTCTCTCCCAATCCAAGTCCATTCCAACAACCAGAGCAGATGTTTGGGCCCATGAATGGCCCAGCCCCATTGGCCAATGGACCTCCGACTCCGGGTAGCAACGACCAAGTACCGTTCTTCTCTAACCGTTCCGCGAGCATGGACAACCTGGCAATGGCTCAGCTGTATTCTGCGCCTGCATCAAGCCACCCTAGTCGTGCCCCTAGCCCCAATGGTCTGAGAAACAGTGTTGCCGGCGGCATGCAAAATCAGTTCACGCAAAGCCTGGCAGCCAACTTGTATCCCCTGCCTCTCGGCGTCAACCAAGCACGAGCGCCTCCAACTATTCACAAAATCATCCCAAATGAGGGACCCAAAATTGGAGGCATCGAGGTTACTGTCTTGGGTGCTGCATTCTTCCAGGGCTTGGAGGTCTTCTTTGGTGATCAGAAGGCTACCACTACAACATACTGGGGCGACTCTTCTCTCGTCTGCTTGCTGCCCCCGTCACCCGTTGCCGGCACCGTTGCAGTGACTTTCAAGCATCAAGGCATGCCTGGGGCTCAGAATTTCGCCATGGGCAAGCAACCGCCCACGTTCAAGTACATTGACGACAACGAGGACAAGCTCATCAGGACAGCTCTGTCTGTGCTCGGACACAAGATGTCTGGCCAAATGGTGGACGTTAGTGACTTGGCGCGCCGAATTCTCAATGACGGAAACTCGACTTGGGCCAGTGGGGGTGGCTCATCATCATCAGCTGGTGGTCCAATGTTCAACCACGCTGCCACCTCTCGTGAACACCTCGAGTCGCAGCTTCTCAAGTGCTTGGATCTCATTGACCTTGATGACAGCACCCACAAGACACGTCTCGATCTGAAGAGATCCACAGGCCATACTATGCTGCATTTGGCCTGCTCGTTGGGCTATCATAGATTTGTCGCTGCTCTTCTTGCCCGCGGCGCCAACCCCGATGCCCGCGACAAGGGAGGATTCACGCCATTGCACATGGCTGCCATCCACAATCACCCCGAGATTGTGAGACGCCTGATGCTTGTTGGCGCAGACCCGACGATTCGAAGCTTATCCAGCCTCACGCCTGCTGATGTAGCCCAGTCACGAGCCGTTCTGCGTGCAATCCGCCACTCTGAGCGACACGTACGATCTCGAAGCGGCGGCTCTCTCCACAGCCGAACCAGCAGTGCTACCTCGCTGCGTTCCTTGTGGGAGCCGATGACAAGAGCACACACTCACGATGAGCCCATCTCGATTGCTTCAAGCGAGGAGAGCCCTGAATACACGTCTGGGGATTTTGAGGATGAAGACCCCGATGAAGACGTTTACCTCACGATGAGACGCGCCAGCTCTATGAGACAAGACGAGGAATCTTCCGAGCATATCGAAGAACCAGGTCGGCCTGACAGTGGAATGGCTTCTCCCACAACGGCACTTGCGGCAGCCTTGAAGGATCAGGTCCAGCAGCAGCTCCAACAGTTCCAACAGTCCATGACACTGCATCTGCAGAACCTTGCCCACTTCCCTCAGATGCCCGCCCTACCAGGAATGGCGATGCTCCCCGACTATCTGGCATATTTCCAGCGTGTGCAGCAGCTCATGCCAGGCATGTCTGGTGCCCGCCCTGGATCGGCTGGATCGACCGGCGAGAACCAAGGCAAGATGGACGGCCGCTGGTGGGATATCAGCTCTTACATGAACAATGCAAGCGCACTGCCACCTCCTGCGTATGAAGATATCTTCCCACAGCAAGATGTGGACAGGAAGCAGGAATCCGCTGTGCGAGCCGCTGCGGAAGCCGAGGCTGATGTGAAGTGTGCAACCTTGTACGATCAGACCACATCGACCACGACGACAGGCACGACCCATGCCAAAGCCGAAGCTCCCGAAATTCTCAAGATTGGGCGCAAAAATGCCATCACCAGGGAGCAACAGGAGCAATTCCTGCGGGCACGTGAGATCAAGCTGAAGAGCCTCCGCAGCGACCGGAATCTCTTCTTCGTTTGGGTAAGCATCACTCGAGACGAACCGAAATGTGACACAAGCTCTGCTAACATTGTAATAGATTCCTCTCCTCCTGGTAGTAGTGTGCGCCATGCTTTACAGCTACTTTCCCTCACTGTTCCCTTTCCTCTGGACCTCGGTCCGAGCCCTGGTACAGGCTGGCCACAATTGAGCATCTCGGCTGGTGAGCACAGCACCTGAACGCGTTGTAGAAATATGACACGTATGATGATGGTGGTTGTCCTTTGCTGCTAGAGAAGGAGTTTTGATGCAGGGTGCGTTGGGCGTTGAAACTTTGAGCCGACATGGGGCTTTTTGGGGGCTGGCGTTTTTCAGATGCTGTAACCCTTGTGGAAGTTGCATCGACATTCGTTTTGATTTAGACATTCTTTGCACGGGGTCGTCTGTTTGCACGAAGCAGCGTTTCTTGAGGGAACAGAATTGTGGCAGCAATATGAACCTACAGATGTACGTTTTGAGAACGTTTGTACACGGGGGGATGTTGGAGGGCGATGGATTGCTTCGCAGGAGCCATGCATGGGATGGGACGGCGAGTAGGATAAGATCCGCCTTGTTGCAGCGGATGTTTATATATTTTTCTCTCTTCCCCTCTTCTTCTCATACGGAGGTTTCTGCTCCGATGATTATTCGCTGATGTTGGCGACGGACAAATACGGGTTACTAGGAAATAGGTATAGTATAGGGTCTTGACGTTATTCGTTTGCAGGTGGGATGGATGGTTGTCAGTTGGTTTTGCTGGACTGGGTGCTCGTTAGGTAGACAATTGTACTGTGTACAGCGATTGCATCGCCGAGTGCCTGTGTGCCTGTGTGCCTGTGATTGTGACGCGTCCTACTCCTTCAAAGCTGGACTGACTGGCTTAATTACAACAAGGGTGTTTCTAGCTCTGGATAATGGTGGTGGCGATGACGGGAAATGACGAGGCGCAAAATGCGAGAGTTGAAAGCACTGACTGGCTTTGAGAGCGCTCGGGAGCTGTACAACGATCGTGACGGGCATATCGGCTCGTGGGTGTCGAGGGACGGACACCCCGTGGTGCGGGAGAATGACTTGTCGCTTTGTCGGCTGTGCATCACGGTGTCACGTCCACGCAGATGACGCGTGGAAGCTCCATGGGGGGGGGAAGCAGAGTCCGCGCTTCCCGTTTGCAGCAGCAGTTTTCCCTCTGGTTGGCGCCAGTGAAGAAGAAGATTGCTGCTGATGGATGGCTGGATGCGCGTCAACCTTGCTGCAACCAGATTGACACCACACGAGCGTTGCTTTCCGCCGGCCAAAGCCCCCCCCCCCCCCCCCCCCCCGCGCCCCCCCCCAC